GTAGAGATCTGATCAAGTTCGTCGGCATAAAGAAGAAAAGCTCGTCAGATCTGCATCACCCGCATCCGATCCTTAGGATTATCCCATTGTGGTAATTCTAAGAAGAGCAATTATCTCGCTGTTGCTGAGATAAGCGCTACAGTTTCTTGATCCCTTCGCGGATAGACGAAGCTCTGCCCAATTCTTCAGCAATCAGATCTGATTGACGGTGGTCCACGGATAAACCCCGGCACAGGCAAAGACACCCACGCAAGCAGAAGATCGATAAACGATCTCCCTGCGTTTGTTTGACAAAGTTATAAACTTATTTTATTTTCATTGTGTAAGGAGATCTTATAAAAGATCAACTTTTTATTTCATTCGAGTTTATTGTAACGACTAAAGTTGTAATAGATTCGATAACAATGAAAACATCAACTTTTACCGCAAACACCTTCTTCAAATAAGCCACCTGTGTCAAACAAATTCTGCCCTTCTTCTTGTCTCTGCCAATCTCCATCCCTAAAATGCGTTTTGCCTCGCCCAAGTCCTTCATCTCAAACTCATTTGAAAGCTGAACTTTCAATTCATCTATAGCCGACCTGGAAATATAGGCAACCAACATGTCATCGATATAGAGCAACAAATAAATGTACGCACCTCCTTTCAACTTGCGAAAATATACGCAAGGATCAAACTGGCTCCGAGTGTACGAATGACCAATCATAAAACCATCGAATCGCTTATACCACTGTCGAGGAGACTGCTTCAAACCGTATAGCGATTTCTTCAACCTGCAAACCAACTTATCTTTTCCTGCAGCTCGGAATCCTAATGGCTGAGTCATATATATTTCTTCATCAAGATCACCATAAAGAAATGTCGTCTTCACATCCAACTGATTTAACTCCAAACCATACTGTGCCACCAAAGCTAGCAGAATCTGAATCGAAGAGTGCTTCACCACCGGAGAGAAAACCTCATTATAGTCAATACCTTCCTCCTGTGCATAGCCCTTCGCAACCAACCTAGCTTTGAACCTCAATGGAGTGCCCTCAATGCCTTCCTTCTTCGTGTATACCCACTTGCAACCAATTGCCTTCCGCCCCTTTGGAAGCTCAACAAGCTCTCATGTATCGTTCTTATGAAGAGATTCCATCTCCTCCTGCATAGTCACCTGCCACGAATCAACCTCCGAACTCTGCTCGGCCTCTCTGAATGTAGTAGGCACCAAATCATCGATACTCTCCACTGGAAGTGCATACGCAACTGTGTCGGCATACCGTGCTGGCATCTGTATGTTTCTCCTCTGCCTCCGAACAGCAATAGAATCCTAAACCTGAGCCGTCGGTTCCTGATCCTGTACATTTGTACTTGTATCCTCCGTGTCACCGTCGTGCTCGCCTGGCGTCACCTCAGTCGGCACCTGTATCGATACTGTACCATCTGGACAATGTGGAGCTGCATCGATCTCCACCACCTGTGATATCTCCTCTGTCGGGTCGTTCTCCACCTGATGAGAGCTGGGAAGCTTCAAGATAGAAGCTTCATCAAACGTGACGTCCCTACTCAGCACAATCTTCTTATCAACTGGATCCCAAAGCTTGTATCCCTTAACACCACGCTTGAATCCTACAAATATGGCCTTCCTAGCTCGAGGTTCCAATTTATCAGTTCTAACATGATAATATGCAGGGCACCCGAATACCTTGAGCTGGTCATAGTCATGTGCTGGCTTTCCCGACCACTTCTCCATAGGGGTCTTCCCCTCAATCGCAGATGAAAGCAGCCTATTAATGAGGTGGTTCGCATATGTAAGTGCCTCAGCCCAAAAGATCTTCTCCAAACCACTCTGCGACAATAAGCATCGGATCTTCTCCAGTAAAGACCGATTTAATCTCTCTGCCACCCCATTCTGCTGCGGTGTATGACTAACCGTGAAGTGCCTCTCTATACCCTCGTCTTGACATAGCTGTAGAAAGGGGTCTGATGTGTACTCGCCGTCGTTGTCGGATCGCAACGTCTTGATATTTCTCCCAGTCTGCAGTTCCAATTCTTCTTCCACTCCACAAACAAATCTAGGACTTCACTCTTCTTCGTCATGGTGTACACCCAACAACGCCTAGAATAGTCATCTACAAAAGTGACGAACCAATGTCTACCACCAAGTGATGCAGTCTTGGTGGGACCCCAAACGTCTGTGTGCACGTAATCCAGGATGCCCCTCGTCTGATGAATGGCAGTCCCGAACTTCACCTTCGTCTTCTTGCCAAGAACACAGTGCTCACAGAACTCAATCTTCCCACTCTTGGCTCCCTTCAATAGCCCCTGCTTGCACAATGCCTGCAGTGACTTTTCACCTGTGTGCCCCAATCTATAGTGCCAAAGTCTGCTCATGTCCGCTTCTGAAATAGCCGAAGCAACCTGGCCAATCTCGGTGCTTCCCTTCAGATAATACAAATTCCGATTGCGGACTCCCCTCATCACCACCAATGATCCCTTAGTAACCTTCGCTACAGCGTTTTCGAAAGTCACCTTGAATCCCTTCGCCTCCAAAGCTCCAACTGAGATAAGATTTTTCTTCAGTTGAGGAACAAATCTCACCTCCTTCAACTCACGGACTACTCCATCGTGCATCCTAATCCGTACGGTACCTATCCCACAAACGCCACAGGATTGATCATTTCCCATGACAACAACGCCCCCGTCGACTTTCTCAAAAGATGCAAACCAGTCTCGCCTAGGGGTCACATGAAAAGTAGCGCCGGAATCAAGCATCAAATCTGATGCATCCACATGGTTCACCTCCGGAGTAATCAGTAGAGAAAAGCACGAATCATCGGAATCACCGCCTTTCGTAATATTCACCTCATTGGCCTTCGGGCCATTTTTCTTGTCATTCTCCTTCTCCTTGAGCTTCGGACAGTCTCTCTTCCAATGTCCCTGCTCCTTGCAGAATGCACATTGGTTCTTTGCTAATTGGTGGTGGCCTCTAGACTTTGACATTCCTCTATTACCACCTTTTGGATATGGGCTTCTACCTCTCGTCGACAAGGCCTCGCCTGAAGTACTAGCGCGGGAAGTCTCATTATCCTTCCTCCTCAAATCGTAGTTCGTCAAAGCGTTAGTCACTTCACTATAGCTGATAGAAGATCTCCCGTTCAACAAAGTGAGCACGAATGTATCATACTCCTCATCCGGTAAGGAGCCCAACAAAATAATCGCCTTGTACTCATCCGATATCTTCTCATCAACATTCGCCAAGTCCGACAACAACTTTGTATAGTTGTTCACATGAGCCGCTAGCGAGGTGCCTCTGAACATCTGAAATCTGAAGAATCTTCGCAGCAAGTGCAACCTGTTCTCAACACTTTTTGTGAGATACTTATTGTTGAGAATTTCCAACATCTTCATTGCAGACGTCACCCCAATCACATCATATTTCAGCTCCTGTTCCAAACAGGACCTGATCACCCCCACAAGTGTTCCTATTCATCTTCTCTCACACCGCCTCTTCATATTTAGGTGGTCTTTCGTGGACCATGATGGTCTCTTCCAAGTTCTGAGCATTGAGCGCATCCTGTACGTCGCTCATCCACAAACCAAAGTTGATTTTGCCGTCATACTTCACCACACTAATCTTAGTGTTCTGAAAACCAACTTGTATTATACTCGCCATCGATTTGCTGCTTTCACCTTCTTCTCCCATTGCGAACTAACTCCAAATTGTAGAGAAAGAATAAATTTGATAGAATTAGGAACCACCCAACTGAACCCTAGACCGGATTCCAAATAGATCTCCTATCCACACAAGGAAAGCGAAATCTCCAACGGCAACTCCTAATGCTATCTCCACCGAAGCCTAGAACTCCAAGAACCAAGCTTCCAACTAAATCTTCCTCCACCTAATCCAAAACACCCTAGATCTGAAATCTGGGCTCTGATACCACTTGTTGCGCGCAGCGGAAATTTCGGCAGCACTTCGGCAGTACAACAAGAGTTAGGTCGCAATAAGAATTCTTGTTTCTCAAAGGGAACAAGAATTTGAAGCCTAATATCCCATCAAAGTAGGATATTTGCTCTTCCTCTCGTCAGCTCTAGGACTGCGCGTCGAGGGAACCTAAAAAGCTATTACAAATCACACAAATAGCAGTACAACCAATTTTTACGTGGTTCGGCAAATTGCCTACGTCCACGAGGCAAGGAGGGGGGAGATCTACTATTAGAGTGAGAGAATACAACTAGGGTTTACACAAGAATCTCACAAATAAAACCCTCACACAACACTCTCAAATCCCTCACAAAGCTCTCTCAAAGGGATGCACAAAACCCTAAAAGAGACTACACAAAATCTCCTCAACTGCAGTCACAAAAAGAAGAAAACCAAATCTGCTTTGCACTGTTTGCTCTCTGCCGCAGCCGCCAAAAAACAAAACTCCTCCTTGCGTGCACGCGAAAACCTAGAAATCAATCCTATTTATAATTAATTTGCGGGCAACGAAATCTCGGGTCGTGGGCTGTAGTGGGCTCGTGCTCTTCACGCGTTCACGCGCCTATGCAGCAGCACTTGGGTGTTTCTCTCACGTGGGTGGCCCCCACGTCCACTTTCGTTCACACACGTCACATAAGAAACAAATCCAGCCGCAAGTGTTTCGATTTCCATTTCTTGTGTTCGTTTGAACATAAAAAAAGGAAATGGAAATCAGTCGCAATAGTAACAGTGCTTTCAGCAATTAAATAATCTGTTGTATTCACAGTCACTGTTTCAACAGTGTTTTTAGTAATTAAAAAATCATTGAAGTGGCATTTTCAAGTGTTTTCAGAGGTTTTTTGTGTGAAAACATTTTTCTCAAAAATCTGACGTGCCTCATTTCTTTAAATCACAAAACGAAACAAACATGTGATTTAGAAATCGGTTGAAACCAAAATACTAGGTGACAGAGAGGGACTTCTTGAAATCTGACGTGACGAGGTTCTCTTATTATTATTTTTTTTTTAGCAAACAAAGAGCACCTAAGTATGACGGTGAACATTATCTTCTTCCCAACACATTAAATAATGACAGAAATGGGTTAAAGTCAAACAACCAGGAGACAGGATCCATGCATTGACTGACACCCACAGACTAAACTAACTACACGTCCTTAACACTCTATTATAGTTTTATAGATTAGCCATCAGCCATGATACACTTAAGTCCTCATGGAGTCAGGCAAGAGGACAGTTCGAAGAAAAAGATGCGAGGGTTCGAAACTGTACACCCTCTTGAGTTTATTAGAGGGCTAGACAGCGAGCTGGCTTTCCTAAAACAACTCCAAAAATTCTCAACCGGGATCCATCACTTTTTTTTTTCTTTTCTTTTGGGGTTCGCCATTTCCCAAAGTTTTTAATTTCTTGTTTGAAAAAACTGAGGAAGCTCACCTCCTCCATCATATTATTCACCAGTTTCTTCCGCCGGGGCTTCATGTTAGTATAAGAGACCAGCAAGAACCAGCACACATTCATTTCTCATCCAAAGGTGCTTTCCCAATGCCTTCTACAATAGGAATGCTACTGTTGTGACGCTTCGAATGCTGTCGCTTTTCTCACGATCCAGCAGCCGGTCCTCTGTTTTATCCATCGAGCTCTTCCCTCTCACAAAACGTTTCGAGACAGAAACCCAAGTGAGGACGCCACAGATTCCTGGGTGACCCTCTCCGCACCCTCATCTACAAAGAAGGTGGAAAGCCCTCAGCTCTTCTCCCTTGTTATTTAAGGTATTGGAACTCGACTTGTTGTATCCTTTTGGATTTTCTTGCAGGAATCAGCATTAGAAAGAAACCCATCTGAAGCTGCCCCTCCTGATCCCCTCTGTAAGCTCAACCTCGGAGAAACTTCAGAGTCTGTGAAGGCGTTCCCTATGGCTTCAGCTCAGAGGCAGAGGAGATCGGTGGAGGCCCCTCCAACTCCAGGGAGGACAGTGTTCAGCTTCAGTGCTGGTAATCTCTCGAGGAAGAGCATTCCATCGAAGTGGGACGATGCCGAGAAGTGGTTGATCGGTGGCTCTTGCCATGAATCTCCTGCTCATATCACCAAAGCCTCAGACTCATCGAAGATCTCTAGAGCAAATGGTGTTGTTGGCAAAAAAGATGACGCCTTTGCGAAGGAAAAGGTCTCAACAAGCTTTCAGGGGGAGACAACTTTCTCCTCAGAAGTGGCACTAAGAGGTTGAAATCTCAAAATCTCTCCAAACTTTTTTGCATATGCAACTTTAGTGATCTGACATATCAAAGGCAATTATCTACTTTTGAAGTGCTCCATGATTGCATACTTTCTATGAAAAAGGACCTTTTATCTCAAGTTTCCTCATTATTTGTAGATGATGCCGAAACTATATGTTCAAGTCTTGCGTTTTTTTTACTGTGTATTGTTTCTCTACATCCTATTACCTCTGCTAGAGCTATGTAGCAAGAAGACCATGTTCCAAGTTGGCCAATTTTGTCTGTCCAAAGAGGTTCATTTGGGAACTGAGTTGCAAATGTCAATTGCTATCTTTGGTTATAGTTTAAGCAGTATTTTTAATCGGTAAAGTACATCCTATTGCAATGCTCTTGGTTTCTTTATACGTATAGATAATGAACTTTATTATCGACTAAATTTCTGTTCTTCATAGCGTGCAACCATCAGACACAGTTAATAAGCTATCAAGCATATAACTAATTCTGCATACCCAAAACTCACTGCAGACAAATTCACAGACAATGTAGAGCCGCCCCGTCAAAATTTTCGATATTCTGATCCAACTGAAGAAAGCTTTCTCTTTAGAGGCTCTTGTTGTGAATCAGTGAGAGCTGCGACGACTAAAGTAGCCTCTGAGGCTCGACGCAGAGATGTGACTCCTTCGTCCAGCATTCTGGCTTCAAGATGCCACGCTCCTAACAAGATCTCTTCTCCTGCAAGACACAACACTCCAGCTGACATGTCTGGTCCTCTGATGACTGCAAATACCGCCCTCGATATCACTGAGCTCAAAGACTGTCACTTTGCCAAGCTCCAGCTCAGTGCTCAGTACGATTCAAAGAATTGGGACTCAAGGGAAGAGGAAGAAGCAGAAGTATCGAAGAGTCTTAGGCATTCAGATAATGGCGGTGGAAGGAAGAGTTTTGCTGAAACCAGAGCCTGTCAGTGGGAACATGAAGAGAGGATCAAGATTTGCATCAGGTGATGTTTTGTCTCATTTAGTATTACCAAGATGCAAGTATTAGACCTTTAACTTTATCGTTGTGTGTGTGCGCGTGTGTGTGTCTCCGTTATTATTATTATTATTATTTCCAGGTATCAGAGGGAGGAAGCAAAAATTCAGGCTTGGGTAAACCTTCACAGTGCTAAGGCTGAAGCCCAGTCCAAAAAATTGGAGGTATCGTGACAAAATCATTTATTATATATATGGATATTTGCTTTATTTTTAGCGACCGTAAGATTTCAACTCAGTTAAGCAGTGTCCATAGCGAAGTGTCGATATAACTGGCCAAAGACATTATAAGGCCTAAATAACCGACTCTTAAGTTGACTGCTACATATCCACATCTACGAGTTTTATGCTTGGAATTATTTGTTAATACCCCAGGTTAGATATAGTATCTTCTGCTATGCTCTAGTGTTATGGTTCAATCGGATATGGGAGATGCCTCCTGGGCCAATTGTTAGGGCTGTGCTAAGCATACCTAGTCTATTTGCGTTAAACACTGCACGGTGCAATTTCGTAAAATATGTAAAATCTGCTGGATTTACAGCAACTTTTCTTCTCTTAGAAATTATAGGGAGAGGTGACTATTAAGTTCTCCAATCTTAGTTTTGGCAATACAGAATTACTTCTCGGTTTGCTTGAAACAGGATGCTCGTCCAAATTAGGAATTCTTCATCTAATGAACTGAAGTTATCCACGCAGTGTGGTGGTGATTTAGATAATGAGAATTGTTCGAAGCCAATCAAAGGATGTTCCAAGTTAATACACATCTAAATTCTTTTTTATATTTTTTCTTCGGTGGAGTTTTCTCTACTTTTGCCAATAAACTTCTGAAAGTAGATATTATTAAGCTCTAAAGTTTCAATTTTGTGGTCTCAGTTGATTATAAAGATTCACAATTTATCACTAAGTTTATAAGAAGGTCAATGGAATCCTGCCAATCATAAGCTAATCCTTTTCTTCAGCAGTACACGGTGGACGTATCAGATTCCGGCGTTGACATATGTTGTTTCTGATGTAAATATTTGCAGATGAAGATACAAAAGATGAGATCAAACTTAGAAGAGAAGACGATGAAGAGAATGGCAATTGTTCAAAGAAGAGCTGAAGAGTGGAGAGCAGCAGCTCAGCTACAACACTCTCAGCAAATCCTAAGAGCATCTGAACAAGCCCAGAAGATGAGAACCCTTCAAACCTCTCCGGTTTCTTGCGGCTGCTTTCCTTGCAATAATCATCTCTGAAAACGAGTTACACCCAGAAGAAAAATACTGTTGAATTTCATTAATTATTATGATTATTTCAAAAATGTGATCCTAAAAAAGTTGCTCCGTGAATTGAATGAATGAACAAGACAACGACATTTTCCAAACCATTGGAAAAAGATCCCCCCTTGACGCCAAAAAAGAAATCCCATCCAGAGCTTCCTTCTTTGTGTAATTTTGTGCTACGCAAGGAGGCGGCATTGATTCAGACTGTTGGATGAGCCACATGCTTCTTTCTCTCAATGGAGAGGAGAAAGGACGCAACATGGGACCTTCAATGATTCTCATGAGGTACGTTGAGATCATGGACGCAAACAAAACAGGTCTTGTTAACTCCTACAGAACCTTTTCTCTAAAGGAGAGTTGATTGGCCTCTTTTCTTCAGTATGAAGAAAACAATCAGAAAATTTACATTCTGATCATGTTGTTTACATGACCCTGTAGTCCAAATCAAATCATCTAACAAAATTTACATGTTGTGATCGTTGACGCGTCAATATGATTAGCGCCAAGCCCCTACCTACCACTGCCATTAGTGTATTGGTAGTTGGCCACGCAATGACAAATATGAGAAGCAATGACTCTCTTGCTCAATGTGTAAGACCCTTTCAAAGAATCATATATAGATATGTTTTACTTTCATCTTCTACAGCACAATCAAGTCTTTGAGTTAAATTTGCTATAGTTGTAGTTTCGTTGTTGCAGATAGACCCCTCAGGTCGAATTTTCTTTCTTGGTGAAATTTTGGGAGACATTGCCATGAGTGAAATTAGTGAATCTATCTATGGGCAAAAGAGTCAAAAAAGTTAACTCAGGTTCTATTTTGCTGGAATAAACTACACGGGCGTTAAAGTTCAAAACGTCAACGTTACTCACACGCATTATACATACATCATTTTCCCTTTAGCACAGTGCTCATAGTACCAGTGCCTACGTTCACACTCCACATCATCATCCTCTCTCTAATCTGTATAAATTAAGCATGAACTATATAATTATACTAGAAATTTAAATGCACGTGGTAGAAAAACATGTTGTTTTTGCATGTTTTTACTTTATTAACTAATATACTACTATGTTAAAAACCAACATAAGTTGCTACAGTGAAAATGTCCTTCAAATCTTTCTTCTCTCTATTCTCCCACTTTCCTTGTAACACTCTCATCATTTTGTCTTTATCTCCCGCTCTCCCTCTTATTCTCTCTCCTCTCTCAAAAATCATTTACAAATATCCTTTATAAAAAATAAAATTATAAAAATAAATTTTAATTAAATATTTACTAATTTATTAAACATATAAAATTAGAAGGCTGTGGCAAAATATAAAATATCTACACTGTTATATTAGAAATCAACAATTAAATCTTTTTATCCTTATTCTCCCTCATTTTTCATATATATATATATATATATATATAATATATATATATATATATATATATATATATATATATACTCTCTCTCGTCTCTCCCCCCCCCCCCTCTCTCTCTCTGCCCCTCCCCCTCTCCATCTCCATTTTGGGCCTTTCTGTGAACAGCAAGACACCAAAAGGTGTCTCGTCACGCGAGACCATATGTAATCCGGCACGGGCTCCCGAGACAGCCGACGGGATTTTTCAAATGCGATTTTTGGGGCCTGTTTTTTGGTCTAATTCTTTGGGTATAAATAGGAACTAGTTCCTAGGGTTTCTTAGAGGGTTTTCTGAGGTTTTTGTGGCTACAGAGAGAGTTTTCAGATCTAAAAGGTGAGATTTTTAGGAGAGAAAAGAGAGAGAACTTGGAGCGATTGTACAAGAAAGAGGTCGGTTTTCTTGGGTAAAATCGAAGCATATTCTCTTTGGGACGAGCTTGCTGGTTGTGCAAGTCGTCGATGTTCTCCTTCATAGTGGAATCTTCCTTCACCCCTCCCCGTGGACGTAGGCAAGTTTGTCAAACCACGTAAATCTCGTGTCTTTATTATTTTCTGTGTGTTAGCTATTGCTTGTTGGTTTCTTCGTTATTCATACTTAAATCTGATATTGAGAAGAGTGTATATCTCACATTGCTGAGATATATTACTTATGTTCTCGTTTTCATCTTGAAACAGGAATATTGAGATTGGTTTGTGTTTTGTGAAAACAAAAGTCTAGGCTTTCTCTCAAGGCGATTCGCTTCCACGGCGAGGTGGACGTGTCTGCCCCCCAACAATTGGTATCGGAGCCCCTTGAACAAATTGGTGGTGGTAGAACCTCCGATTTGAGGTGGTGCTTGGTTATTGTGTGGTGCACACAAGGTGTTTGTTGAAATTCCTGAGAGAAACATGATTTACTAAAACAAACGGAGAATGACGTCTACCAGTAAAATAGTCAAAGTGGAAAAGTATGAGATTAAAAAGTTTAATAGGAAGAATGATTTTTTTATTGGATGATGCAAATGATAAACTCGTTGATTTCGTAGAAATTGCACAAGGCTTTGGTAGGAAAAGAAAAGAAGCACAAAGATATGTTAAATGAGGATTGGGAAGAGTTAGATCTCGAAGCACGAGCATCGATTATCCTATGCCTTGAGAGGGATGTCGCTTTCTTGGTGGATGGAAAGGCAACGACGGCGGGTGTGTGGTCAAAGTTAAAGAGTACCTTCATGACGAAGAGTCTAATAAATCGGATCTACTTGAAATCCAAATTGTATACTTGCAAGATGGAGGAAGGTTTATCAATCCGGGAGTACATCAATAAGTTTGATAGGATCATATCGGATTTGAAGGGCATTGATGTAATAGTAGAAGATGAGAATCAAGCACTTCTGCTACTTCTTTCTTTACCGAAGTCTTATGAGAACCTGATACATAAAAATTGATGCTAGTAGGTGACAATTTGAAGATGGATGAGACTAGAATGGTGCTTCTAGCGAATGATCTTTGGAAATTTTCAACTAGTGATATGGCTACTAATGGTAACAAGGAGCAGACACAAGGACTGTTTGTAAGAGGAAGGAACAATGAGCGAGGAATAGGCAAGGGAGGAAAGTCTAGATCGAAATCGAGATCTCTTGTAGGAAGACCGTGTTTCGAATACGGTGAGCTTGGGCATTTCAAGGTTGACTGTCCTAACAAGAGAGTAGGTGAGAAGAAGAACAACAATAAAACCAAGAGAAGGGAAGGCAAGGAAGAGGCGAGCTATGTCTCTGAGAAAGGGAGCGAAAAAGAATACTACATCGTTACGTGTGGTGAAGAGACCTCCGGTAAGTGGATTCTTGATTCGGGTTACTCTTACCATATGTGTCCAAATAGAAAGTGGTTTACTGTCTATAGGAGCATTAATGGTGGAACCGTATTAATGGAGAATAACCATGCTTGTAAAACGGTAGGGTTTGGTGATATCAAAATCAAGATGCATGATGGAGTGGTCAGAACCCTGACGGATGTGAGGCATGTTCCCTACTTGCGGCAGAATCTTATCTCAGTTGGTGTTTTGAACCCCTGTGGTTGCAAGATAGTTACAGAGGACGGTGTAAAGAAGGTTGTTTGAGGTTCCCTGGTAGTGATGAAGGGCATTCGTCACAGTAACCTATATACTCTCTCGGATAAGACAGTGACAGGAGATACAGCGGTTAGAACTGGTGGAAATGATAGGGATCCATGTGAGTACACTAGGTTATGGCATAGGCAGCTTAGACATATGTCAGAGAAGGGTCTAGATCTGCATGGTAAGGAAGGTTTGCTGAAGAACATGAAGAAAGCTTGCATGGATTTTTGCGAGAATTGTATGTACGGAAAGGAGCACAGGGTCTAGTTCTTGAAAAGCAAGCACAAGAGCAGAGGTATATTAGACTATGTGCATACAGATGTTTGGGGTCCGGCTCCGACAACTTCTAAGGGCGGTTCCAGGTATTTTGTCTCGTTTATAGATGATCATTCCAGGTATGCTTGGGTTTATTTTCTTAAGAATAAGAATGAGGTATTCGAGACATTCAAGAAGTGGAAAGCAATAGTTGAGAACAGAACATGCAGGAAATTGTATCATTGAGATTTGATAACGGTATAGAATATACAGAACAAGTAATCATTCAATGAATTTCATATTACTCCATTTTTATTAATTTTTATTGTATTTATTAGTGCTGACTTGTAGGTCCCTTAATCGGGAGATTCCTCTTCTCAAAGAGGATAATTAACAATATACTCTTAAGTCTATTGGGATCCATGAATCCACTTAAAAAATAAAACATTTTCCCATGAGGTGAATTTTACGGGATCAATATGCAAATCTAAGTTATCAATCTTAATTGGACGTGTTTATCCACAACTGATTAAGATAGACAATTTTGACCCCATAGTTAGCCACCATGAGTGAACCGCTGGACGATCTTGTGGATGTTTGATAGTCATGTGTTGAATGCATGGTCTAATTAGCTTACGAGGGAAGTTTGCAAGAGTTGGTGAATTGGTTAGCCTACGAGTGAAGTGGTGTAGAAGTTAGAGAATCCCGTGAATGATTGAATTATAGTTGAATTGAATTATACTCACAAATTAAGGGGGAATTGTTGATGTTATTAATATGTGAGTATAGTCTCACATTGGTTAATATAAGAAAAAATGAAGTGGTGTATAATGTTTGCATCGTAATGATTTTCATTCTACGGTGTGTTTTTGTATCTTAAACATGCTCTATGTGCTACAGTGAGATTTTTAGCCTTTCGTCCACTCTTCAGCTAAAGTAATATTTTTTAAACCCTGACAAACATTTTTGGTATCTTCTTATTCTTCTTCTTTTTCCATTTTGTTTTATTGGTTCTTACAAATGATGAATTTAACTTTTATCAAACATTCACTAATATAAATCTTTTCTGTCTCTATTATAAAAAACTTATAAAACTTGCTAATTAGTGTATTATTTTATTGACTAGTTTAAAAATTCACTTTGTAGATAGTAGTAAGAAATTATCGCTTAAGTTTTTATAAATAGCTATATATAAAAACTATATTATCAAATTGGTGATAGATATAACTCGGTAAATAATTCCCGCAACAACGTGCAGACTTACACACACACGTGTGCAATAAAGCAAATTACTTTAATTAACAATTCTATCATAACACCCTATAGAAAAAGGTCAACGTTTAGTTTAGAAGTTATAACTCCTCTCAATTATTTCTCAATTATTTATGGTGTAGATCACTCACTCCTAGAGATATGGTTCTGATAACATCTATATCGCACTACTAGTTAGATATGGTTCTGATAACATCTGTATTGCATTACTACATTTAGCCACCATAAACATGGCCAAAGAATCCTAAAATAGTTGATCTTCACCCTGAACAACTTATCCATAACACTAGATCTAATTATACAAATATAAAACAAGAACAAATTTTCACTGTAGACCCAAACCAATTTTTTATTACCAAAATCGACCGATTTTTTTTTTAATTACCAAAATCGACCGGTTTTATGCCACGTAAGTGTAATCCAGTTTCCTAATTAGTCGGGGTTGCCAACCCCAATTGTTTAGGAGTTATTAAACCGGGTTTTAAGGCTTCTAATCGGGGTTTAACAACTCCTAAACAGTCGGGGTTGGCAACCCCGACTAATTAGGAAATTGGATTAAGCCTACGTGGCATAAAACGGGTCGATTTTGATAATTTAAAAAAAATTGGACGATTTTGATAATTAAAATTCTGTTTGGGTCTACAGTGAAAATTTATTCTATAAAACAAATAGAATCACCGCTTGCTCACAAACAACACGCATACTTGAGCTAGGTAGAGAGTGAGAAAATCCCAAATTAAACAGTGACCTATGACTTTATCTTAGAGATAGTGGAAACTATATTCCCTTCCAAAGCAAAGGTGCTCTCTTTTCCCAGTGGAGGGCAATCTCATAGATTCACTGCAAAAGCTTTCAAAGAGATGCTAGTCACAAGCAACAGCCCTTTCTCATTTCCAAATAAGCAGTAAAAAACAAAAGTAATGATATAGCTCACGGTTTATACTGAAATCTCAATTCTAGGCTCAAAAGAGAACGCAGACATGAACTCTTTAGCCCTCCCATTCACAAAACACTTCGGCAGCTCAACCCACTCATTATCAACCAGATTGAACATCACATAACTACTAAACTCGGAGGAGCTGATGCATATTAAGATCGAAGATCCAAAACCAACACAGTTTATATCAGCTTTCTTCCCGAAAAAATCATGAGATAATGAAGGAGGCATTGCCGCCACCTGAAGCCATGATTTCTCCTCCTTTGAGAACTTCCAGATTCTGAGACTCGCCGTCTCTAAAAAATCTGATAGAACAATGACTAACAGTTCGCCATTGCACTCAACTACATCAATGGAGTATTCAAAGTAGATGGGAAGAAGCCTTGGGTACTCATTAAAGGTCTTTAGTGCAAGATTACAGGCAAGAACGGTGCCTGACTGGCTAAGGAAATAAACCACCTCTTCATCATTTGCTTCCTTGATGAGAACCGATGAGTACTGCTTCGAAGGGCTCCTTTGCATATTGGTAGCCACAACATCTCCCGCTTTGCTAAGGAAATACATAGTCTCAGGCTCATCTTCAACTGAACCCACATTGCTTTTTCTCAGCAAGAATTCATTTTCCCACTGTTTTTTCTCCGAGTCAAAGACTCTAACGCTGAGGTTGGGGAACTCACCAAGTACTTGCACAATTCTATATGAAGACAGGTTTTTAGTGGAAGAACTCATGGCGATGGCATTGAGAGTTTTCCCTTCACAAGCTTGGCCAGAATTTGGGATTTCAAAACAAGCTCCAGCGATTGGATTGCACACAACAAATAGGCCCGTTGAGCTTCGAAAACAAACCAAACCCCCCGATGAAGCTACAGGAATTGATTTAGAGAATTGGGTTTGTTGCAGGAAATTAGGATAAGTCAAGTTCTTCCAGCTTCCATCACTGGTGTCAAATACTATAGATTGGTTGAGATCTTGACCAACCATAAGAAACCAGGGGTCACGAGATTGAACCTCCGAGCAAGCAAGATGAAAGGTAGTTGAGGATGAAATGTTGTTCCAAGATTTGCAGACCGAGCGAAGGCGGAAGAAGCTTGAAGGTGGAAGTCGAGAGAGGACTTTTTCGAGAAGGTCCTGGTTGAGTTCATTGAAAGGGAAAGGGGAAATGCTTGAGCTTGATGAATCTGGAGATTTTCTCTTTAGAGATTTTGTTGCGTCCATGTTCACCTTGAGAAAGGAACGAGTCTGCTGCAAGAAGGGAGAAAGATTGGTTAGCAACAATGATGAACTTTTTCGGATTACAAAAGTAAATGCAGAATATTGAGTGTAAAGGAAGAAATACATCAAATAACATTTTGATATCTGCAAGGAGATCTAGTAAGGGAGAGAAATTAACACGCTGAGAGGACCAATTGAGGAGCCCCCAAGAGAGATTAAATGCAAAGAACAGAAAAGGTCTTAAGGTTTAAGAAAATAATATTGGTGCTTCAAAGGGTTCCTATAATACCAATTGAACTGACAAAGGAGGAGGAAGAGGAGCTAAAGTTTACCGATTAAGACATAAAAATCACATTTTTATACAAGCTAAAATCTTCTATCACTTGATATATAAGAACATCTTTTTACAAATGTAAAAGGACTAAAAGATCAATTCTTTCAACATTTCCTCTTAAGCTTCTTTCTTGAATTGCAAAATGAATCAGTAAAATATTGAAAAATAAGAGCACTATGAAGCTGAAGAAGCTTAAAAGAAACAGTACCAATGGATTCCTACAAGGCATCACAAGTACTAATGGAAAATGCAAGAGAACAAAAGAAACAAGAACTGAGAAACAAAACTTAGTAATTCAAATGAACTAATTGAACCATGAAAGTTCCAATCTTTGTACCTTATATCCAAAAATTCCCCACAAAAGTCATCTTTGCATAAAAGAAAAATACTTAAAGATCACATTTCTTTACATCCTTTTTCTAGCAACAGTAAAAGAACACCAAGTAAAGGGATAAAACAAACGCACCAAGCTAACTATAAACTCCTATGGAGCATTACAGTTCACATCAAGCATCTGAAGAAACAAAAGAACAAAGTACTAAGCCACTAAGAATGCAGCTTCTATGCTCTAAGTGTCATCACTCTACTGAACCAATCTAACCACAAAAAAGGATTTTTTTTTTTCAATATTTGGTTTCAAAACCAAATAATTAAACGGACTAAAGATAGCCCATGTCTCCTCCTCCCTAGAAAACACTAGAACATAGCATAAATTTACAGACCCACATCACAAAAACCACCACAAACAAAATTCATTTCAGTGAAAATATTAAAAGAGCAGAACAAATAATGTACCTCTGTCTGCTTGGGTGCCTTGTCACAACTCAAGAGGAAGCAAAACTAGGGTCTCCTCGTTTTGTAACGGATGGAGAGAGAGAGAGAGAGAGAGAGATGGGAGGAAACTTCGTGTGTTGCTCTTTTTGTTTGCGTTGACACAGAGAAAGAAGAAGCGAGTGCGTGATGTTTTTGCTCCGAGGAAAAAGCTAAATAGAAGAGCCGAAACCCAAAGCTCATGAGAGGGGGGGAAAAGCTTGATGAGAGAGAGGGAGAGAGAGAGAGAGAGAGGGGCTCTCTTTGCTTTAACCTTTGAGCTACTCGAGAGAGCATGTGACCAGCGCTGACACTGACCGCCAATGGGTATCTCTCGAAATTTTCTTTTCAGAAAATACTCTTTTGTGTTTAGAAAAACACTTTATTATCAGAAATATAATGTTTGTTCTTCTTTTTATAACTATATATATTTAGTTTTATGATTTGGTATAGGCTAAATACCCATATTGGTATTTTACTTCAACCTCATTTACCAAGAAGGTATTTTAAATAAAAAAATTGGCGTTAAGGTATTTTAATTGATTAAAATTATCAATTAGGTCCTTTTTCTCGTCGGCGACCATTTTTCCGGCGAGAACTCGTCACGTGCGTGACACGTGATGACTTAATCTGTGTTTTAGCTGATGATGTGGCTCGGTTTGCTGATGTGGCTCGGTTTTAGCTGCTGATGTGGCTTAATCACAATTTAAGTCCAAAACGAACCAACCTGAACCCTAAAAATTTCAAAACAAAGATCAAACTTCCACGCATTCACTCCAGATCTCAGATCCAACTCAATTATCTTACCTTTACCGCTAACAGAAGCAGCCAAAAACCCCGATTCCAGGAACTTCTAGAAGAAAACGCCATGGGAATTCGGAGAGAAGAGAGTGAGAAGACGAAGATCACTGCAGACTAGATTGCCGCCGGCGCGGCCATGGATCGATGCAAGAGAAAGAGGTTCTATTTATACGGTAATTTCTCCACTAATTTTTCGCTAATTTTTTTACCGATTTTAGAAATGGGGGATTTTAAAATGCATCGACTCTTATTCTTCCTGCCACTGCCACGTCAGAAAACCGGTCGAATTAAAATGCACGTGACGAGTTCTCGTCGGAAAAGTGATCGCCGGCGAGAAAAAAGACCTAATTGGTAATTCTAATCAATTAAAATGCTTTAACGCCAATTTTTTTATTTAAAATATCTTCTTGACAAATGGGGTTGAATTAAAATAACAATATAAGTATTTAGCCATTTGGTATATATTATTATTCTTTGCTATGCCGCTCCGATCAGAGACTTGTTGCGTTTCACTATTTTTTACCTCATTTGTCTTTTTGCATGCTGATCTCCTAAATTACATGCTGCATCACAAGCTTCAAAAACTTATTAAGAATTTTCTAGAAAATGATCATCGCGAGTATTAATATATCCAGCAATTGAAAAAAAAAAATTGTTTACACTTTCTGTTCAATATCAGTCAATAATTCGTATACAATTCGTAGTACATGTAGATTTTTTTAATTAAAAGGGTCATTTATCAAAAATAATTCTCCCGGCCAAAATGTTCAACAATGCTATAATTAGTCTGAAAATCTAATACACAGCCGAAATTATTATTCCAAAACTTTTAGTCGTGATTAATGATCAAATTAAAGCTAGAATTTTTTATGGCTGCTTGTTTCTATAAAGTAAAGCTGAGATTTAATTAAACTTTGTTTAAACCCGTTCAGGCCCGAGCCCTGATTACGCTTAAACTAATCACGTGGACACTCTTTTATGTGGGGGGAGAACAACGAATCACCAAAAGTACATTTTGTTTAAATTAAACAAGGATTTGACCTCTGCTCCTCAGGAATCTCTTTTGGCACTCTCATAATAAATAAGGAAGAAAAAAAAAAGTAACTAAACATTTAACAAATTATAAACATACTAATCTTCCCCACTTTGGCTTTTGCTTTTTTAGCATTTGAATCCGGTTCTTAAGATGTGGATCAGTGGATGGTACCATCATCAAACAAGGCTCAACTTGATTATTAATTAAATATAGAAATTCCACGGGGTTGTTTGTATAAATGTTAGATTTATTTTCCCCCCACTATGAGGTACGTTTATAAATCTATCAGATGCAACTTTAATTCTTTAAATGAATAAATATAGAGGCAGCCTTAATTAGGATCTCATGTATTTTTTTTTAAGTATTTATAAAGCACGAATTTTGGGTGTGTATTTTTTTGCTTAAGAAGTTTTCATCCTAAGGTTGGGGATGTTAACTGATAAGCTCGCAAAAGTAATTATATAGCCCTTTTAATATATTAACTCTTTAGTAACCATTTTGAAACGTAGCATAGTAATAAATGGTTCTTAACACAATATTAGAATAATAAGTGAAATCCAAATAACATCGTTACCAGAATTTAAAATAAAGTTGAATCTTTTTTTCCCCTTCCATATGAATATATGATTATCGAAGAAGAACAAATTTTCAAAACAGCCTCAAACCAGTTTTTATTTTTTAAAACCGACCTACTTTTTTTTTACCAAAATCGACCCACTTTTTGTCACGTCAGGTTAATCACATTCCTAAATAGTCAGAGTTGGCAACCCCGACTGTTTAGGAGGTTGTTAAACCCCAATTAGAAACATTAAACCCGATTTTTTATGTCCTAAATAGTCGGGGTTGGCAATCCCGGCTAATTAAGAAATGAGATTAAGCTGACGTGAGAAAAAGTGAGTCGATTTTAGTAAAAAAAAATGGGTTGGTTTTGAAAATTAAAAACTGGTTTGAGACTGTTTTGAAAATTTGTTCCATCGAAGAATGTGTTGTAAAGTTGCATGCCCTCTGAGCTCGATACATTGTTAATATATAGTTTAGTACACAGCTAATTTATGATAATAATCCACATATAAATAGAACAATAAAGTCTCGTGGGCAGGGCAGGGCGCACTCGATAATGCAATTTGAGATGTGTGTCCGTGTCGTGGCTGACCTTTGCAAAGCAACGAGACAAAAGCAAAAGCAAACACTCTGCTTCTTTTATCTGTAACTCCTCTCCTCGCCGAGAGAATCTCTCGCTCTCTCTGTGAAAAATATTAAAATTGTAATAATAATAAATGAAGAGTAAAATTTGTGGGGAGAAGCAAAAGCCGCTAATTGCGATGTCTTTTTACCCTCCTTGTGGGCTGTCTTCTGTGCCTTTATCTGTTTCGTGGGCGTTTTTCCGAGGGAGAGGGGACTGTTCTCTCACTGCAGCGCCCTCACATCGGAGTTGAAAATCCTCATCTCTCTCTCCCTCTCTCTACATTGCAGAGATCTCGATGCCGGATCCGCTGTCGTTTGTCAGAGCCTGGTTTTCAATTTTCAACGCCTCACTCATTGCTCTTTGAAAACCAACACTCACTTGTTTGGATCGGGTTTAAAGGATAAAAATTAAAATGAAATTCCAATTTTATCTTATCTTATTTGGGAGCTTTTTTGAGGGCTCAGAGTTATGGAGTGTAGTGTAAATTTTCTTTTTATTTTACCCCCCTCCAATCTGGGAGGTAGACGGTGGAATGGAAACCAATGTAAATTTTTACAACGTGACAAGTCTCTTTTTAGACTAAAGTTGATATTATTTTTTAGTTTAGCAACAGCTGGGCTAAAGTTGAACAATTTTTTTTAGTTCAAAAATTAGCATTTAAACTAATTTTTTTAAACCACTCTCTTCTTTTACTCTCTTTAGACTAGTTAGGATAAAACTAGATTTGGCCTAGTCTCTTTTTAGAGTTGTCAAATGGCAACTCACTAATATATAGGCATGAATTGATCCAAGCCCAGATTTTATCTCTAACCAATTTTAGTTTGGACCAGTAAAAAAGTGGTCTAAACTAAAACTGGTTTAGCGATAACTATTTGGCCTAAAACAACTAGGCCAAAATTCGTCCAGCTTTTTGGCAAATAGAAAATTGCTCAAAATTAAATCACGTTCGGTTCTAGCACAATTTTAAAAAGATTATCAATTACACCCTTAAAGTAATATACAAAACTTGGTTAAGGTTTTAGTAAGTGAAATCAAAGATACTTATTTCAATTTGTTTGGAAAGTTTAATAAATAAACCCTTAAATGTTATCAAATCATTTTATTATTAGAAATTTTGATGGATTGGAGGGGTTGACGGTGGCAGATGGGCTGGAGGCGCAACAAATGAGCGAAGGTTGATGTGTTCTCAAATAGAATTAACGTGTCCCTTGTCTTTCCCAACACCCCCATTAACCTCAATTTACATAGGCCCATAGGGTCTATTATGAAAGAAAATAAACTCTTTTAAGAGGGGCAAGGACCATACCCAATGAGGCACCATTAGCCAGGCCACGGTGGGGGACAATTCTGATTTATTACTATAAAAAATAGTGATCAAAATAAATATGAAATAAATGGGAAAATAACCAGATTGATATTTTTATCGGTTTTTCTATAGGGCCTGTTTGGTTATTTCCTAAAAACCAAGAAAAATCAAGAAATGGAAATGGAAAAGGTGAAAATCTCAAAAAGTACTATTTCCTCAATTTCAAACCCTAAAACTCACCCACAACATCCAATAAAATATTATTTTCATCCAACAACTCATCTACATCATCTAATAAAATTTTATTTTCATCTAACCACTCATCTATCACATCTAATAAAATATTATTTTCATCTAACAACTCATCCATCACATCTAATAAAATATTATTTTCATCCAAACATCACTCAACTCATCTCTTTTCATCATTTCAAATCACTCACATCATCTAATAAAATATTATAACAATTCACCTCATCTCATTAACATTTTATTTCTTTGTTTTCATCCCAAAAAGTTGTGAAAACACTTTTCTTAATCTTGGATCACATCACCCAATAATACAATGACAACTCATCTCATCTCATTTCATTTCTTATTTTTAAGAATGAACCAAACCAAAAGAAAACAACAAACTACAGG